CTACTCTCACCCGACACCCCCATACCCTCCAGTCAAACATATATGCTTAGTTGTATCTAGGCTTAGTTTATGTGTTTACAGTTGTCTAGGCTATAGTGGGTTTAGCCTTAGGGGGTACACAATTTCTCTCGACATTGTACTTGTACCCCTCCCCTATTCCTAGTCATCCATTCTCGTCATTCTCGCTAGTATTCTAACATGGTATTAGAGTAGGCTACTCTTGGGCCCACCACCTACTATTTCGTTCCTAGCCCCGCGCCCCGCCCGTACCACGCCCGCGATAGGCCCGTACCTAGCCTGCGCCCGGCCCAGTCTCCTGCCCGCGCCTGGCCCGTACCTAGCCCGCGCTCGGCGGCCCCTGTGTTTGGCCCCTCGGCCCGTGCCTTCTCACGCCCGTGCCCGGCCCGTACCTAGCCCGCGATCGCCACGTCGACACCCGCGCCTGGCCCCGTACCTAGCCCGCGCCCCGTCGACGCCCGCGACCGGCCCGTACCTAGCCTCCCGCTCGGCCCCGTTCCTAGCCCCGCGCCCGGCCCGTACCTAGCCTCGCGACCGGCCCGTATCTAGCCCCGCGCACGGCCCCGACCCTAGCCAGCGCCCGGCCCCGTACCTAGCTCGCGCCCGGCCCCGTCTGTCGCCAGCGCCTGGCCCCGTACCTAGCCCGCGCCAGGCCCGTATAACGCCCGCGCCCGGCCCCGTACTTCGCCCGCGCCCCGGCCCCGTACCTGCCCAGCGCCCGGCCCCGTTCCTGCCAGTGCCCGGCCCCCCTAGGCCCCTCGGCCCCCCTAGGCCCCCCCTCGGCCCCTTGTTTGGCCCCGCGGCCCCTAGGCCCCTCGGCCCCACCTCAAAGCCCGGCGCCCGGCCTCCCCGGCCCCTTGTTTGGCCCCTCGGCCCCCTAGGCCCCTCGGCCCCCCTAGGCCCCCCCGGCCCTTGTTTGGCCCCGCGGCCCCTAGGCCCCTCGGCCCCACCTCAAAGCCCGGAGCCCGCCCCCTCGGCCCCTTGTTTGGCCCCGCGGCCCCTAGGCCCCTCGGCCCCACCTCAAAGCTCGGCGCCCGCCCCCCCCCCCCCCCCCCCGGCCCCTTGTTTGGCCCCTCGGCCCCCTAGGCCCCTCGGCCCCGCCCCTCGACCCCGTGTGATTGGCCCCTCGCCCCCCCCCCTAGCCCCCCCGGTCCCTTGTTTGGCCCCGCGGCCCCTAGGCCCCTCGGCCCCACCTCAAAGCCCGGAGCCCGGCCCCCCGGCCCCTTGTTTGGCCCCTCGGCCCCCTAGGCCCCTTGGCCCCCCTAGGCCCCCTCGGCCCCCTAGGCCCCTCGGCCCCCCTAGGCCCCCCGGCCCCTTGTTTGGCCCCGCGGCCCCTAGGCCCCTCGGTCCCACTCAGAGCCCTTCGCCTGGCCCCCCGGCCCCTTGTTTGGCCCCTCGGCCCCCTAGGCCCCTCGGCCCCCCCTAGGCTCCCCCGGCCCCTTGTTTGGCCCCACGGCCCCTAGGCCCCTCGGCCCCACCTCAAAGCCCGGCGCCCGGCCCCCCGGCCCCTTGTTTGGCCCCTCGGCCCCCTAGGCCCCTCGGCCCCCCCTAGGCCCCCCCCGGCCCCTTGTTTGGCCCCGCGGCCCCTAGGCCCCTCGGCCCCACCTCAGAGCCCGGCGCCCGGCCCCCCCGGCCCCTTGGTTTGGCCCCTCGGCCCCATAGGCCCCTCGGCCCCCCTAGCCCCCCCCGGCCCCCCCCGACGATCTGCAACTGTACCTACTGAGCGATCTTAAGGACAGTGTCTCACTGTTTGACCACGTGTCCGGTGCCGCTCCAGTCCCTCCTGCCACAGCTGACGTTTCGACTCGTTCCCAGTGGCTGTCTCGTGACGCTACTGCCCGCTTGGCCATTCGCAACCACCTGCCCGCAACCAAATGTGCTCACTTTGGCGAGCACAGGACAGCACAGGCCTTGTACGACGCTGTCGTTGCTCGCTACTCCTCCCCTGCCACTACTGCTATTGGCAGGCTGCTACTGCCCTACCTGTTCCCTGAGCTGTCGGCTTTTGCCACAGTAGCTGACCTGGTTACCCACCTGCGCACTAGCGATGCTCGCTACCGCGCTACCGTCCCTGCTAAGTTCCTTTCCACGAACCAGCCCCCCATGTTCATCACCCTCTACTTCATAGTCACTCGCCTCCCTGACTCCCTTCGCTCTGTCAAGGACCACTTTCTCACCCTCGACCCCACTTCCCTCACTATTGACCTCCTCGAAAAGCATCTCCTCGCAGCTGAGACTAGTGCAGTTGCTGTAGGTGCTGCTCGTGGCACTCCGCGCTCACCCTTCTTTGAGGGGTGCTCCCCCTCCCCCCTTTCCTCCTCCTTCGCCTCTGCTGCTGCTGCAGACGTCTCTGTTCCTGAGGACGTTGGTGCTGCTTCGACTAGTGCAAAGCGCCGCAACAGCAAGGGCAAGGGTGGCCGGGGTAGTGGAGGAGGCAGCGTTGGTGGTGGAGGTGGCAGTGGGAGTGGTAGTGGGGGCAGCGGTACAGGAGGCGGAGGCGGTGGAGGTGGTGGCGGCGGTGGGACCGGTGGCGGAGGTGGAGGCTCTGGTGGCGGCGGTGGAGGCAGCGGAGGGAGTGGCGGCAGTAGAGGTGGTGGGACCAGTGGTGGTCGGTCTGGACCTCAGCGTGGAGGCCCTGGTGGTGGTCGGGGCCAGCAGCAGCAGCGTCGGAGCGAGACTCAGACGCCCCTGCAGCTCCGTGAGTGGTTGGTTCAGCGTGGGGCGGGTGAGGGTAGTGAGACCTGCCCGTATGTCGTTCGCACGGGTGCCCGTGCGGGCCGGACATGCGGGAGGTTTCACACTGAGCGCAGCTGCTTTGCCCGCCTTGACGACGCCTGGCGTACTGAGTTTGGTGATGACGTCGAGCGCCCTCGCTGGGCGGAGTTGCTTAGGTCGGAAGTTGCTATCTTTGACCTAGACTTTGATGTTATTATCTTTGCCATGTATGCTTTGTCTTTTAGTGCTGAGGGTGACTGTTACTGGTGTGTGCCGCCTGAGCCAGGTATAGCCGCTGCTGCTCTAGGTGCTAGTGCATCTGGTACTCCCCCTGGTACTGCGCCTGCTGAGGCCCTGCACACCTTCACGTTGGACTCCGGCGCCTCGCGCTGTTTCTTTCGTGACAGCACCACTCTCACTCCTCTTCCTGCACCTGTTCCAGTCAGACTGGCTGACCCCTCTGGGGGCCCGGTCGTTGCCAGTTCCTCCACTGTCCTCCCGTGTCCGGCGGTTCCGTCCGGCTCACTGTCAGGTCTTCACCTCCTCTCGTTCTCTACGAACTTGGTGAGTACCGCTGCCCTCCAGGATGCGATGGTCACTACCACCACTCCTGGGGGTTAGCGTGTGTCGATCTGCACGTGCACACGGACGGGGCGTCACCTGGCTACGTTCACTCGTTGGCCAGGGTCGAGTCTATACACACTGGCTACCGAGCCTCCCCAGGTCGCTGCGTCCGCTCAGGTGTCCGCGTCAGGTCAGGTAGCCGCCTCTTGCTCATGTCGCCTCCTGTCGCACCAGACTCTCCTTTGGCACCACCACCTGGGTCACCCCTCCCTGCCACGCCTTCGTGGCATGCACTCCCGTCTCCTTGTCTCTGGTCTCCCCAGGTCTGTGCCTCCCCTGCCGCCCTCGCCTGCACCGCCCTATCTTCCTTGCGTCGAGGGGCGGCAGCGCGCCGCTCCTCACTCCTCCTCGTTCCTCCCGACGAATACCCTCCACATGGACGTGTGGGGCCCAGCCCGCGTCAGTGGACAGGGCCGTGAGCGCTACTTTCTGCAGGTAGTTGACGACTACACGCGGTACACCACAGTCTTCCCCTTGCACAGCAAGGGTGAGGTCTCTGCTGTCTTGATCCCTTGGATCCGCACAGTCCGTCTCCAGCCGAGCGAGCGGTTCGGCCAGGACCTTCCTGTCCTGCGTCTGCACTCTGACAGAGGTGGTGAGTTCTCCTCCGACCTCTTGCGGGACTTTTGTCGTGGGGAGGGCATCACCCAGTCGTTCACGCTTCCGGTCTCCCCTCAGCAAACTGGGATTGCTGAGCGCCGCATTGGCTTAGTCATGGAGGTCGCTCGTACCTCCATGATCCATGCGGCTGCTCCCCATTTTCTGTGGCCGTTTGCGGTCCCGAACGCTGCGCACCAGCTCAACCTTCTGGCCCCGTGTCTCCTTGCCGGAGACCTCGCCCACACTTCGTTGGACGGGGAAGGTAGGCGATGCGTCGGTGTTTCGGGTCTGGGGTTCTCGTGCCTTTGTTCGCGATACGTCTGTGGACAAGCTCTCCGCCCGCGCCATTCCCTGCGTCTTCCTTGGCTTTGTCCCTTGCGCGCCTGGCCGGCAGTTTTACCACCCCACCTCGCGCCGTGTCCTCCCGTCTCAGGACGTCACATCCGACGAGTCGGTTCCCTTCTACCGTCTCTTCCCCTACCGCTCTGCCTCTCCACTGCCCCCGCCGCTCTTCCTTGCTCCCGGTCCACCTCCGGTAGACCCCCTCCAGCCCCAGGGTCTTGCTCCCTCGGGAGTGTCTCAGGTCGACCCTCTCCCTGGTCCTGCGCCTGTTCAGGTAGCTGTCGTCTCAAGTGCTGCTCCAGGTGCTTCGTCTGGGGGTGCTGCATCTGGGGGTGCGGAGCCGGGGGGTGCAGAGTCTGAGGGTGCTGGGTTTGGGGGTGCTGAGCCTGAGGGTGTTGAGCCTGGGGGTGCTGAGTCGGAGGGTGCGGAGCCTAGGGGTTCTAAGTCGGAGGGTGTGGAGTCTGGGGGTGCTGAGCCTCGGGGTGCTGCTTCGTCTGGAGGTCCTGCTGGTGCTTCACCGCGACTTTCCTCGAAGCAGCTGCGTGAGTGGCTTGTTTAGCGCGCACACCGTCGGAGTGGAGCTCCCGGAGCTGGCGAGCCTGGAGACGCTGGAGCTGGAGGTGCTGCTGTTACTACTGGAGCTGTTGGTTCGTACTTCGTTCCTCTGCTTCAGCAGGTTCTTGGTGTCCCGTCTTCTACTG